TGCCCGGGCCGAGCCGCGCCGCCGGGCCGGCGGCCATTGGTCCCCCGCCTGGTTCCCTCACGGGGCAGCGCAGCCCCGAAGGCGGCTGGCTTTTCCCGTGGGGGTATTGCTGCCCCTCGCCTCTCTAGCCTTCTTTTCCAGACCCTGAAGTGCTTCCCTCAGGGAAGGGACCCCGTAGTAAAATAACGGGGGGAAAGTTGCTGTCCCTCTCCATCTGCCGCCAACGTGACATGGCGGTCGGGAGATGCAGTCGGCCGGTTTTACTCGGCGGGGTTTTGCTTTAGCGCAGGAGACCCCCGGGGCTGTGCTGGGAGCTGGTTTTATTCCCACGTGGCGGGGTCAGCAACTGAGTCGGCAGCCTTTAAAGCCAAGCTTTCCCTTTATGCAATATCGTGGAAATTATATCTATAATGGTTTACAACAGTTATTTTAGAATTTCATCGCCTATCTACGAAAATTTTCTGCTGGATCCTAAAAACAAAATCTCTGGTGAAGAATTAAGGATTTCCTAACTACCTGGTGATTTCTCAATTTTAATGTTAGTGTGGACTACAGTGCTCTGGTTTGGACGAAACCCTTTTGTGCCTCTATGACTCACGTTATCAATTAACATTAAAAAAACCCAAACAGATCCAAACAGCTTTTTATAGCAAAAAAGGAAGGAAGATATGTGAGATTTCGAGAGAGATTTCACAATTCGCAATCTGGTAAAGTGGGCAAGCATGCGGGTACAAGTGGAACAGGCCATACACTAAGATAGGTCACTCTGAAATAAATTAATAGTAGTAATACGAATGTTCCATAAAATATTCAAAGCCCCTTGTCTCCACACACCTGTAAAGAGAGAAATAGCATTCAAATGTTGTAAATTGGAAAAAAATGAGACCTAAGGAGTTTAACTTAATGTGTCTGTGACAGAGCTGGGATGAGACTGATCCCAGCCACCCACAAAGACGTCCTATCCTTTACGGGGGTTAATTGCTTCCAGCCAACAGGCCAGAAACACAGTACGGCAAGGCCCTGCTGTCCACCTCTTCTCCACCCCTTATTTTAGCCTTCCCTCAACAGCCGTTTGATACCCAGCATTGCCAACCATCATCCTCCTGTGTCTTCACCCTTTGCCCCTGATTGGCATGACTGACCTCAATGAGCAGCAGGCATCTGAGGAAGAAGAAGATTATGATAATGATGAAAAGGTAGCTGTTCAGAGGGAGGCAGGGGGACCACTTCCCTTCAAAGATTTGCACCCTACCTCCAGTCTTATGGATGAAGCAGCGGTGATGTTTCAGAACAGCGACCCACTCTAAAAACAACCAAAATCATCAGGGCATTGCAAGGTTCAGTCTGATGTTACGCTGATCAAAATCTCAGTCATCTCTTGACTTCTGTGTTTAAAAGAAATAAGCATCCCAACTGCCAAGAAGCCAGCATCTCCCCCAGTTGACAGTCCTGCTCCTGCCTCTCCATCTTCAACTCCTTATGTCCCTGTGTATTCAAACTGTGTGTATTGCTTAAGGCCCTGCATGCATACCCGCTATCCTGCTCCCTGACATTTTTTTAATCCACAATTGCTCTGCTCCGTCAAATCCTTGTTTC